ACCCCTACCCCACCCCGTCAAGGGCCTTTGGGATATTTGCAACATTCAGGCGCCAAACTGGGCAAGTGTTTAATCAACTCACCCCAACTGTGATGGCTCAAAGCCCTGGTGGCATGTTGGTTATATATGTCAGGCTGCTAACTGCAGGGTCAGCAGTTTGAAACCACCAGCTACTAGGAGGGAAAAAGATGGGGCTTTCTACTCTCCTCGTGAGGTACAGTATCAGAAACTCACAGGGCCAGGCCTCTCCTGTCCTGTAGGGTCGCTATGAGCCAGAATTGGTTTGGAATGTGATGGCCAGGAGTCCTGCTGGTGTAATGGTCATGTGCTGGGCTGCTAACTTTGATGGACCATAGGCTGGATATTCCCCACCCTGGACGGGGCAGTCAGCCTCATCTTTCTCTTAAAGAGCGGCTGGTGGGTTGGAACCTCTGACCTTGCTGTTAGCAGCCCAAGACCACAGGACCACCAAGGCTCCTTTAATGAAGACAGTGGTACCTGTTTGCTGAGGTTGTTTTGAATCACAGTTCATCACCTCTCCATGAAGCCTTTTGCTGAGAGAAGCCTTTACGTGATCGGAGGCAGGAGGGTGCCCCTTTAATGAGGTCCTGAGCAGCCGATGGACCCATTCATTGCAGTGCGTTGTTGGAGCTCTTGGCTGCTGCTTAGGGATCCAAGCTGGACGAAGTCGCACACGCACACACGGAACAAACCACTGCCCCCTGAGCGATTTTTGGCACACAGGATGCAGCGACATTAGCCACAGATGTTCTTGTTGTGCAGCCAAATTTTGACCCACGCTTCCCGGAACTCCCTGTCCCCTCAGCCATCTCCCCCTCTTCTCTCTCCTTCTTCCATCGAAAACCCACTCACTGCAGTGTCCCCAGACGGCAGGGCAGGCCTGCTCCTAGGGTTTCCACGGCTGTCAGTCCGCAGGGAGGGACTGCCTCATCTTTCTCCCACGGAGCGCCATGTGTCCGTGGGTTTGAACAGCTGACCTTTTGGCTGGTAGCCCAGCGCTTTAGCTGCGCCACCACCCGCCATCCTCCACCCGCCTCACCCCTTGGTGCGCTGGGGCCTCTCTGCGTTTGCTCGTTCCAGGTCTCTCACCCCAGTGGGACTGTGCCACCCCCGTCATTTGATGGCAGGTCTTTTTCGCTCTGTGTGTGGGTGGGGGGTGTTTCTGACGTCTGGACCCAGTGGGAGGCACCCAAAGGCCACAGCTGAGAAAGGCTGCATGCTTGGGGAGCTGCCCCACTCCACGATGGTGCGGCGTTGCGGGAGCGATGAGCTGGCCTCTAGGCGTGTGCCAGCCTGCCGGCGTGCCAGGGTGGGTCCCAGAGCAGGGGTGTCCTGCCCCACCGTGTTGCAGTTCCCCGGTGGCATCTCAGGGTGCCAGCCCTCGAGATGTTTCTGCGCTCGGCCCTGGAGGGCGCCTATGCGGGGAGGTCAGAGCCACGGTGCTGGGCAGGGCATTTCCCGCTCACGGCACCCTCTGGGGACCGAGGAGCCTGGCTCTACTGTAGTGAAGCAGGTCCCCAGGCCTTGCTTCCTGGGCACTGCTGAGAGGTTAGAGCGGCCTGCCTCGTGCAGAGCAAACTGCCTGTCTGCCTCCCCGGATTGCCCTGCGGATGCTCAGCCCAACCCCCTGCTGGGGACTGGCAGGGGACTCCCGAGGTCCTGGGCACCCGAAGGTGGGTCATGAGGGGCCCCCGAGGTACGCCACCTCTGAGCTGCCTGCCCCACGCCAGCCCGAGAATATCATGTTGCTGGACAAGGACGTGCCCAGCCCCCGCATCAAGCTCATCGACTTCGGCATCGCGCACAAGATTGAGGCCGGGAACGAGTTCAAGAACATCTTCGGCAC